GCGGAAAAAGCTCTAAGAAATCTGATATGAGAGAAAATTTTCAGAGTATCCTTATTATTCGTTCATGCGTAAAAACAAAAATGTACATGCTTTTTTGGCCGCGTACTGTATAAATTATAAAAAATTATGTATCTCAATTTTTTAAATAATAGGAAAAGACAGCCCTAATTTTATAATAAAAATTTCATGTAGAAAATTATTTCTTAATTTAACTAGAAAATTCAACACTTTCACAAATGCGTAAGTATAGTCTAGTGGTATATTCTAGACTTTGTAATTACAAGTTCTGCTGGTCGAATCTGCTCTACGATAACAAATAGATGCGTTGCAACGCGTTCAGTGTGAACTACAGCTACAGTAGATCGATATACGAATATTTTCCCAGAGGATACAAATTCAGGAAAATCGCGTTGCAGATAATGATCGAGTTGAAAATAACATTTTTTTCTTCAAAAATTTTAGGTCTTGTTAGTCGTATGGAACGCTTTTTGTTACTGCAAAAAACGGGTTTAAACGCATTTTAAAAACTGCGTTTAAAGTCTAGCGAAAACATGCGAGCTAATAAAAAAACGCGTTTCGACGCAAAATTTTATAAAAATTTTTTTCATGGGTATACAGTAGTGGCCAAAAATATAAGAACAGACAATTTTTTAGCGTTTTCAATTTATATGTCTTTACTTGTTTCCGATTGATAAGAGTTTATCTGTATAGATATATGCATTGAGTTGCGCTCTATCCGAAGCTGCAGTCAGATTTTCTCATTTCCTATGTCAGACCGACAGAAAGGTATTTTAATCAAAAATTTGTACTTTTTTATCATTGAAAAAATGCTATTCTAGCTCAGATTTCTTCGCTACTAAAACTGTGATTCAGACGAGAACATTTTTTCCACAGTTCCACAGGATAAAAGACACTTTTTGCTACAAAATGAAAGAATTTTGAGGTCTGAGATGCATTCTGTTGGCGAGAAAGCGGCATTTTTAAGTATGAAATTCTAAAATCGACAATTTCAAGCCAAATTTAATACAAAATCCGTTGTTTTTTTTATTAAGACGTCGTTTTCTCGCTAGTAGAATGCTTCTCAGACTTCGAAAATCTTTCATTTTGTAGCAAAAAGTGTCTTCTATCGTGTGGGACTGTGGAAAAAATATTCTTATCTGAATTGTAGTTTTAGTAGCGAAGAAATCTAAACTAGACTAGGGGTTCTTCACAGATAAAAAAGTACAAATTTTTCATAAAAATACCTTTTCTTTGATCTAACATATGAAATGAGAAAATCTGACTTCAGTTTCAGATAGAGCGCAACTGAATGCATATATCCATATAGATAAACTCTTATCAATCGGAAAAAAGTAAACAAATAAAGCGAAAATGCTAAAAAATTGTCTGTTCTTATATATTTTGATCAGTACTGTATATTGAACAACAGAATGTTTGTTTTACTTTTTAATAGTTTCGTTTTGCTGATCGACTTGATTTTATCATGATTCTTCTCGGGTTATGTTTCGTCTTACTAAATAGCATGGCTTTCACGGCATCATTAGTTGTTTTTGGTCGACTTACGAGCTCATTTGCGTTGCTATCATTTATTGGTAGATGCCCTCCACAGCAAAACGCATCGGTTACTGTTCACAATAGCAGAGAACGCCCATGGAATGCTGAGCCAAATATTTTCAACTATGATCGATCAGAAAAGTAAGTATTGATCACAAAAGAGATTGATGTATTCCAGCTTCTTTCACTATTCATTGTTCATCGATTTCAGACTCTGTTCAAATGACAGTAACACCTCAGTGCCACTGTGGTCGTTCTCAACGATCAAACGTCATGAAGATGTGAGACATCTATTATGGTGGCTGTTAAGTAAGCAGAAAAAACCTAACTGTTCAGTCGTCAACCAGAAAGTGGTTTGCATCTTGAATGTATATAGTCATTGGTTCAATCGAACTCGTGTGCGTTGCTGCTCAATATTTTCTCTTCACTGTGGCTACCAGACGACAAATCTCTCGAATACGTATTCGTCTTTTACAATCACTCCTGCAACGGGTATGTCAAACACATTCATCTTGACGCAGATATAACGAATAGAATAGAATTAATGACCATCTCATTGTTATCTCGGTTTCTACATTGATTATCATCGTCCAGACTTGTACCTTCTTTGAAACTATACACTGTGCTATTTTCTACAAAATGATTGTATTGTGAAACGCGACTGAGATGCAATGCTCAGATATATCGATGTGAAGCTAGCACGAACACCAATCAAAATCACTGTCCCCACCGACCAATCAATATCCGTCCATATTTTACCACTTACAATCCATGATATACCAACACAACTTTCCTTAGCAACCGACCCACGTCCACGCGAACGCTATTGGTACGCGTGACGTCACATTGGTACGCTTCGCACGCATGATGTCACGCGTTTCTGCCGTACGTGAAGTCACGCGCACCGATGCGTTCGCGTGGACATGGGAAATAGAAAAAACGATGAAAACCACAAAACTCATATACCCGTGTGAAATACTCATAAAAAATCAAAAAAACCTTACCTACATCTATGATGGTTGATTCTAACATTTAAGTCGACCCATGTGAACTCATTTTCCATTGCAAAATGAGAGTGAATATACCATTTGATACACAATTGAATTCTCTAAAAAATGGTATGCTCGTCATAAGGAGAATCGATTTTTGGAGGGGCTTCAAAACCGAAAAAAAGATCTACGAGACTATTTTCATCGGAGTTGTTGACATTGGGATCTTCTCCTGTGGACTGAGTTTCCATTGCAAAAAGAGACTGAATACATCAATCGATAGAGAATTGAATTCTCCACAAGAACATGTATTCACTATAGAGAGAAACGATTTTGAATTGGAACTTGAGTCCAAAAAAAAAATCCGACTCACATGAGTCATAGGGTCAGTTCAAATATTGTGACCGTTTCTCGTGAACTGAATTTCCATTGCCAAGAGAGAATGAATACATCATTCGATAGAGAATTTAATTCTCTGTCGAATGATCTATTCGTTCTCGCCTGGCGATGAAATTTGAGTCCACCATATTCGATCACAATATGTGAACTGACCCTATGACTCATGTGAGTTGGATCTTTTTTTTCGACGTAGGATCATTTTCGAAATCGATTCTCTGTGTACTGAATATAGCATCTTGTGGAGAATTGTATTGTCTATCGAATCGTGTATCCATTGTGTGGTGGCAGTGGAAGTTGGATTCTGCAGTATTGATTTTGGGAAAGGGAAGTCGATCTATCAGGGATGCGAATCGGTTTGGTTTTTTACTGAAGGCACTGTAAAATGAATTTCATGTATATGTAGTTTGCTGTGTATGCGCCATTTCCATCGAATTGACCTCTATGGTGATGTGTCTTGTTAGTGTGTTTATGATTGGCTAATTCTTCGACCAATGAATTTTTTTTTGTTTCGTGGTAATTGTTCGTGTTGTGTCAGCTTCTAATCGATCTCAAATATATTGCGGTAAAAGTGACCTCTATCCCTACCATAGTCCAAGAATGATGACAAGAATTACTTAGGATTTTGCATTATATGTAACACAGTTTATGACAGTTTCAAGGAATTTTCGATGTGTTGCTCATTGTTTTCCGAAGATATTGTGAAAACCATAAATAGGTTTCCTCATCCTAGTCACAGTGACCCCACCGTATTCTGCATTTTAATTCCGTAGGGATGACATTGAAAGCATCTATATTTGATGACTATAGTTGTCTACTTTTTTCAAACGCAACACAATTGGATAGAATAATCAAGTACAGTTTTCAATTTTTTTTTCTTTTTCTCAACTATTTTCCTGTGGCATTCTCATTCTTACATCACCATAGATTGCTTCGTTACGTTTTCACAGTTCACAATGTCAATGGATTTTTTAAAATCATTGCTGCATACAATGAATTGTTTCAGACAAGAAAATTAAAACCTCTGAAAGTATCAAAATACAAGCTTCAATATTGTAGTAGTTTAAATATTGCAAGAGAAAAATTGAAAAATAAAGAGAACGAGAATTATACGTAATGGTTTCATATACTTCTGAAGAATTTGGAAAATGAAGACTAAACTCATTGAACAAAATATACCCTTTGTTGCTCGAGGAGGAGGAAATAAATGCACAGCACATCTTTTGTGAAAAGAGCTTATGTCTGAGCAATGATAAAAAATGAAGAAGTTGACAGAACAATGAGGGGCTATTTATTCAGCTACAATCGTTATGATGCCATGGCAGTTGATAATTAAATTAAACATGTGAATCGGTTTTTTCTCTTTTTCTTTCTCTCTCTCGTTTCTAGAATATTTCATATTGCGATACAAATTCGATCAGTCAGTTCAATGTCAAACTGTTTAAGTAAGTCCTTTCCTGTCAATATTTGCAATAGACACAATATTTGGTTCTCTCATTTCATAGTAACATCGACATTATGAGCAAAGCCATCGGCTTTGAATTATCAATGTTGCTTAATGCATTATTTCTCATTATTTGCAGCACTTGTGTTGCCTTAATCATCAACTGGAAATTGACATCTGCCATAATATGCACATTTCCGTTTGCTATTGTCGGCTCATATGCCTTTACAAGGGTAGATATGATTGCTGTTGATTAATTTAGCTTATATTAATTCTAAAAGATCACCGTCAAAGAATCAAGAAACGAATTGGATGCGTGCTCAAAAGCTGGAGAGATCGTTCAAGAAGTGTTCAGTTCTCTTCGTACGGTGCTTTCGTTCAATGGTGGAAAATTTGAAGAGAAACGGTAGGAAATATATCTGTTGTTAAAGGAACTTTGTAAGCCATGAGCCATGACCATGCTCGAATTTTATTGTGAATCTAGATACGAAAGCGAATTGCGAGTGATTCGTAGGAGCAGTGTGCGAAAGGGTACCGCATTTGGTCTTCTCAATGGATGGATCTATCTGATAGGATACACGATTTATTCGATTGGTTTTACTTTCGGCTCATCTCTCATGCATCAGGAAGGACCTGGTAGACTCAGTTTCAGTGATCTTCTCGTGGTAAGTTATTCAGTTCACAAACAAGATTTCGAAAACCGATGGATTCTCGACGTTCGAATAGATAGTGGTTACTTTGGTACGACCTATCACCAATATTGCATTTGTTGGTCCTTTCTTTCAATTGTTGGAAGAGGCTCGAGGTGCTTTGACGCCCGTTTTTCGATTGATCGATGAGGTACAGTTATACGTAATGTACGATCTTGTCTCTCCACTATTGTATCATACAGGAAAAGAATACAAGTATGAATGAAACACAAATATCTCAAGATTCGGTTTCTTTTGAAGAAACTATTAGCATAAATGATGACATTCAATTTGACAATGTCAATTTTGCCTATCCAGCTCGATCGGATGTCTTAGTCCTACGAAATCTCACATTGACGACGCGTGCTGGTGAGACAACAGCTTTAGTCGGTTCAAGTGGTTCTGGTAGATATTTCGCAAAAAACGCATATCGGAGTTAGATAGTCTATAGTTTGTTCATCGAATAGGGAAGAGCACATGTATTTCACTTCTACTCCGTTTTTATGAACCTCTATCGGGCTGCATTACAATTAATGATCGATCGATCACCGATTACGATTTCAAATCACTCCGACAAAAGATTGGTGTTGTCAGTCAAGAACCTGTACGTCGGTCTCTTTGCTTTCTGAGTTTTGCGCTTTATATTGTTTAATGTAGGTTCTCTTTGGCACAAGCATCTATGAAAATATTCGCTTTGGTAAAGAAAATGCAACAAGAGTCGAAATTGAAGAAGCAGCACGTCAAGCCAGTGCACACGATTTCATTATGCAATTACCGAATGTTTGCATCAAATGATCTTTTCTAATGCCACGCATGATGTTTTCTGTTTTCGTAGAAGTATGACACAGTCGTCGGTGAACGTGGTGTTCAGTTGAGTGGTGGTGAAAAGCAACGTGTGGCTTTGGCTCGTGCTCTTGTCAAACAGCCTGCCTTGCTTTTGTTGGACGAAGCAACAAGTGCTCTTGATAATACCAATGAAAAGATTGTTCAAGAAGCACTCGATCAAGCATGCAAAGGTTTGCACGTATCTTTCTGTTTCAATCATACCATGCAAAGTTACTCCTAGGTCGGACAACTATTGTGATCGCTCATCGTTTGTCAGCAGTTCAAAATGCACATCAAATTTATGTTTTGGATAATGGATGTGTCATCGAACAAGGTACACACGAGACACTGATATCACAGGAAGGAAGTCGATATTGCAAGATGATGAAAGCTCAAGAGATAGAAAAAAGAGAAGATGACATCGATGAAAGAACGAGCACCGCACAAATCGAAGATGACGATCGAAAGCAAATATGTACGTATAGACTTTCAAAAAAAACGAATACTTTGAATAAGATAATTTGTTTAAATTAGCTGAACGTTCTCGACATCGAAGCCATAGTGAACTTGGCGACAAGAATAAAGTAAAGAATATGAATTTATGTGTGTCCAGATTGTTTTTGCATATGCAACTTTTTTTGAACAGGCATCATCAGATACAAATCGCCGACCTGTTTTCTTGCGACTTTTGCTGATGAATAGTCCCGAATGGATCATTATTCTGATCGGCTGCGTGGCCTGCCTCATAGTTGGGGCAAGTCAATCCATCCATGGTATTCTACTCTCTCTTACAGTATCTGTAAGTGATTTTCACGCACAGAAAAAAACAGAATTGTCGTTATCGATTGTTCACAGACATTTGGAGCGTGTACCTACGAAGAACGAAAACATCAAATTTTGAAAATTTTCTTTCTCTTCTTGTTGATGGGTATTGTCCTTTTGGCTATACGTTATATTCAAGTAGGAATATATTGCATAAAATGTTTTATATTTTCTGCATCAATAGTACGCTGCGTTTGCTTTATCTGGCTCAAAATTGACCGAGCGTATCCGTATTAAAGCTTTTGCGCACTATCTGCGTCAAGAATTAGCTTTCTTTGATTGTCTTGAAAATAGTTCTGGAGCTATTTGTAATCGTCTCTCATCCGATGCGTTGGCTGTTCAGCAGATGGTTGGCAGTTATCTAGGCATTGTTTGTGAATCAGTCGCGGCATTTGGAGTTGGTCTTGTTATCGGTTTTTTTTTCAGTTGGCAGTTGGCATTAATCGTACTCTTTTATATTGTCGTTTTGTTTGTTGTTGCTTTCATGCAAATACGTTGGCAAGCACGGTTAAACAAACGTTGTGATTGTGTTCTTGGATTAGCAAGTTCGGTAAGAGGAGCATGTCGATTAAAATATCATGTATACTGAAATATTGATGTTGAATCTTCTTTGCTTAATAGTTCGCTGTCGAAATTATTCACAATATGCGTACAGTGAAACAATTGGCAAGTGAGGCAAAATGTCTACGTCAATTCTCAGATTCACTTCTTGAGGAGTTCAAGTCAGTCTTTCAATAACTTTTTTCCTTAATCCCTATGCAATATTTTTCCATAGAATTCGTCAAAATGATACAATAATATCCCTCTCACTACAAAGTCTCTATTGGGGAACAAGAACATTCATCGCGTTTGTTCTCTTTTGGCAGGCTCTCATCCTTGTTGAACACAAAGAACTGAACATGAACAACCTCAATATGTATAATAAAAAGCTTTAAGATCTATTTTATCTACATATTCTTCTAGAGTGTTTGTCTATTACTTTTTCACCTTGGACTCCTTACGATGCATCGCGACGTTGTAAGTAATTTCGTCGGTCAACTCTGTTTCCTCAAGCATCTTATTTAGGACGCGACAGATGAGTGACTCGTTGTCAGCAGCTCAAAGTTTCTTCAATTTGTTCGATCGAACATCCGCTATCGACAATAGTTCCATCAATGGTCAACAATTGGTAAGTGATTCATTTCGTAAAAGTCTCAGCGTTGAAGAGATCTCTCTTATCTCCTTGTTAAAATATGTGGATGACAGAGTGATTTTCAAGGCGCAATCGAATTTGATCAAGTCAAATTTGCATATCCATCTCGGCGGACATCCTGCATTCTGAATAAATTTCAATTAACCATCAAACCTGGTGAGTTTAGCCCGTATATTTTAAGTTTAATTTGTGATTAAATGTCTATAGTTGTCAATTAGGCCAGCGTGTGGCTCTTGTAGGTATGTTGAAGTTAGTTGTTGTCCATTCAAACGATCGCATAATCTATATACAAAGGTACATCTGGTTGTGGCAAATCGACAGTCATTCAGCTTCTGGAACGATTCTACGATCCCATGCAAGGTCAAATCGTAAGTATCGTTCTTCTATGCTGTCAAAATATTCGTACAAACACTTGACTATCGAAATCTAGCGTCTCGATGGTGTTGACATTCGACATCTGAATGTTCAATGGCTTCGCTCGTCTCTTGGTCTCGTTAGCCAAGAGCCTATCTTGTTTAATTTGACTATTGCGCAAAACATAACCTATGGTAAAGAGAACACTTCGATTGAAGATATCATCGAGGCAGCCACCAAAGCCAACATTCATCATTTCATTCAGCAGTTACCTCAAGTGAGTGAAGAAAAACACATGATCGTTGATTGTGTCTTTGCACTGTAATAACAGGGCTATGAGACTAGAGTGGGTATGAAAGGTGGTCACTTGTCAGGTGGTGAGAAACAACGCATTGCCATTGCTCGAGTTCTTCTTCGTCGACCAAAAATTTTGTTGTTAGATGAAGCAACAAGTGCCATGGACTCTTATAATGAACAGGTTCGTTTTCTTACAATGTTCGTTAATTAAATAGTCACTTTTGCTATGCTTAGATCGTGCAAGAAGCTCTTGAAAAAGCTGAAACAGAGAATTCAACTTGCACTTCACTGATCATTGCTCATCGTCTGTCGACTATTTGTTCGTGTGATATGATCTGCGTTCTTGAGAAAGGATATCTGGTAGATAGTGGTACTCATGCAGACTTAATGGAACGACGTGGAGCCTACTATCGTATGATTTTTCGCAGCAGTATTTTATAAATTGACGTTATTATTTTAACAAAACTGACTAGAAATTGAAATAAACTATTCTCATTAATCAAAGATCGCATGAAGCGGTGTAATGACCGCGAAATGCAAAATCCGAAAAGTGAAAAGTATGAGGTCCAAAAACGAAGTGAAGACTCCCGTTATAATTGCTTCTATCATATCTCAGTAAAAAGGCATGCTGCAGAAAGCTATTCATTGATCAAATCACAATCAGAAACATTATGCTATATCTCAAGAACACTGGACGCTAACAATTTCATTGTGTGAATGTGTCGTGTGTGTGTTCTAAGTAGCAGCACTCACAGCTACAACTCTATCGACATTCTCTCTAGTCTAAGTTGATTGGTTATTTTTTCGATCTTCATTGCATGTATTCGTTGCTATCAGAATGCGGAAGTATTATTTCATTTTTAGATTCTATATGAGCCAGTCCATGTAAACCACAGTCGAAGTTGCTCAATCGATATCGTCAGATTTTGCTCAATTTAAGGTATATTGCAGAAGAAAGAGTTTTATGAATTTTGCGCAAGCCGATTCAAGAAATATTGACCCCTCGGTTTTTTATGAGCATTTTACGAAAAGGCTTAAAAATGACCCTATATATAAATGTGGGTACTAATGCAACGATATCTCACGAATGGCTCAACCAAAGGAGCTGAAATTTTTCAATACCATAAATCTTAGTGAATTCTATTTACCATAAAATTTTCGCTTTAAAATATTGAGGCATTGGGATTTTAAGAGGCACTCAATATATGAAAAAAGGATCCATTTTCGGTAACTTTGACGGTTCATAACTTTTGATAGGAATGATATATGACTCTAAAATTTTTACTCTTAATAGAACACTGAGAGATATATCTCTCTTGAAAATTTCAGTTATCCATACCGTTCCATTTGATCAGGGCAGCCCCATGAAAAACGAAATTTCGATAAATATGGGAACTTTCAGAATAGACTTTCTCCCAAGAAATGGATGGTCTAGGGTGTTGGTTATTAGAACTTTGAAATACTCTCTTTTGGTTACAATCTTGTAAAAAAATTAGCGTCGGAGGGTGTGGGTGTGGGTGTGGGTGTGAGTGTGCCGGATGTGTGTCGGTGTGGGTGTGGGCGTGAGTGTGGATGGGTGTGGGTGTGGGATGTTGTTTATGTTTTTAGCCAGACCCACACCCACACCCACACCCAATTTGTGAATGATCTCAATGCATTGATTGATGGATTAGAGATGTTCAAGAAAACTTGGAGATTTTGAATCTACGCAGGATTTTATTTATGTGAAGTAATATATCATAGTTATTATTGTCAAATAGGGTGAAGGAAGACCCATTCATTCAGATGTTATGCCAGCAATAACATTCTTTTGCTTTTGTTCCAGTTCATCTAAAGATCGATTAAATGATGACGGAACATTAGTACAAGGTTCACATTTATGATATTGAGCTAGCTCGTTTTGATAATGATAAAAGATATATTGGCCAACTTCATTTGCATTTGTTGTTAACGGGGGTGGCTGTTTCCATGTCGGAAAACAAATTCCAAATTGGGAATATGGCCGCTGATCGCGTATACTAGTAAATGGAAAGGTGTAGTTTCCAAGAATATTAGTAGAGCAAGAGTCTGAAACAAGTTGTCTCGTATTATAATCATAGGTTCCGAAAAGACCACTTGGTTGATAGTCACAATCATGACGCCGTTTATCCTCAGATGGATCCGTTGTATGACCAGCTGCTGCTCGACAAGGAGAGCCACATAAAGGACACGGTTCAGAACATCGTAGCGTAACTCCACCACGGGCGAATCGATCGACGAGTTCATCACGAATCAACTTAATTAGGGAGTTGATATTTTCTGGACGAAGATAATCATATGGCAACGTTGCAGGTATACTTTCTATCACTTCATATTTGACCTGAAGCCACACTCCATCCTCTTCAGAGTCACAAACGGTCAGAGAAGTAACATTTAATGCGTTAATGTCATCGCTGAATCCTGCCATTCTTTGTCCCAACAAATCATGGGATAGAGTTCGCAGAAAATAATCTGTACGGCCCTGGCGAATCAACTGTAGATCGGTTTCCTCTTTTGAGCATGTTGGATTTCGATAAACTAGTGCACCCGGCATCGCCGATTGAATAGCATTTGAAAGAACATCATGATATGTGTTCCAGTCATTTCTGCTGAGACTTTGAATTTTCTCTTGAAATAGATTTTCCACGATAGTCGAATAAAATTCACCCATGTTCAATATCAACCGAATCACTCTCTCGATATCATCCTTTCGAATTAAGTTAATCAAGTTTAAATTAGTCATAGCTTGCACTATCTGATCATTACCTATCCAACTTTCATGTGTGAGATTGGTAATGACATGTTGTTGTAAAAATTTAAGAAATCCGCTCTCAAAATGTCTTTTGAATACAGACACCAGTTCCGACTTAAGTAAACTAATACCATGAATACCTTGAACAGTTTTCTTGTAATAATTCCACATATCAGCACGTGCAGCATCCAAACGAACAGCAATCGAGTGAACTTTCTCCCATTCATTTTGAATTGTGCTTAGTTGAATGACAAGTTGAGCATATACAAGTTGATGTGCTTTCTTTTTCAGTTCATCTCGTTTTACTTTATACTCATCAAGTTTTTTCTGGGTCATTCGAATGGCCTCAGTAGGAACATGATCAATATACCGTGTGACTGGCTTTAAAAGGTCATTCACATAGCTTTCTAGTTCGTGTAAAAATTTTGTTTCTTCCTTTTGTTTGCGTCCATCTGATCGAGAAACCGTCGATATAATTTTTTTCCATAAAGCTCTGACGATATCATAATTAGAGCGAGTTGTTTTGATAGCTATTCTTGATTTGGATTCGCGATGCTGTTCGGTAAAATCGAAATCTTTGCCAACGCTATTTAGAGTGTAGACGCCGTGTATTTGATTTTCAACACTGATCACTCGATGTTTTCTACATACAATATGAAGAATAGCATTGAAAATCTCGTTAAATTCCTTTGACTGGCGATCAAGATCACCTGCAATACTCTTCCGCTCTTCTTCATTTTTATTTTGAAATGATTCACTAATACGAACACGTAAAACTTTCTGATAATTGGTGAATTCTTGATCAAAGAGCAACCAGTTCGTAATAAGCTGGCGAATGCTCAACGTAACATCTGTTGTTTGTTTTTGAGTGAAAATCTGCCACCCGTGCTTGGTATCGACACTCCATGCCTCCCAAGACTAGAATGATACATGATCTTTAAGTGAGCATAAACCTTTCAGTCGAACATACTTTTTGATGATTGATGGAATAAAAAAATTTTTGAGTAAGTTCTTCCACATTAGTTTGTACCGATGCAGTGAATTTGGTTTGAAACTCCTCAATAATACCCTCGCAATGGTTGGCCGTGAGTGACGAATCATCCAATCTAGTCAAAATCATGGGTTCGAGTTTATCATATTCTGAAGAAAATAAAGATGCCAATTTGCCATACATTTCGCGACAATATGCTTGAAGATCTTCATATGCCCACCTTTCTAGCACCGTTTTGAATGATAGCGTGAAGTCAACAGTCTGTACACATTGCCAAATAGCATTCATGTATTCAGCAAAGTTGGACAATTCACGGGCTTGCCAACGGGGAGATGATTTTGTAAGGCGATAATATATATAGGCATTCAATTTGACAATATCGTGTCCATAATCAAATTCTGGTACATCTTCAGGTGGCTTATCACGCACTTTTAGCTTTCCAAGAAATTGAATGTCTGTCGTCTGAAAATCATGTAACAATTCAGAAGCTAAATTTTGTTCGTCATTGTTCGAATCTTTTGTGCCATGATGTTGATCATGCTCGAGATCTGCGGCCGCTTTTCTTAGTTCCAACGAAAGAGACTGGGTGATGCTCGTTAGTTTACTCTTCTCATTCGTGTCAATACGTGTGTAGACGAAAAATAATTTTGTTTTCAATTGATTTGTTGATTTGGCGGCCAATTCACTTTGTTGATAAGCAAGCATGACAATGGGCAAAACTTCTCGAGCAGCAGTATCTTCTTCATTATTAATCATTATAATTGTAGCATCGGCAGGTAGAATACTAAAAGTCGCTAAACGATTGTCACGCCAGGTGGCGCCTTCCGAACCACTGAACTCAGGCGCTCGTACTCCTTCGCTATCAAGAATAACAACATAGTCGTATTCAGAACGATCTTCAGCTTTTAACAATTGAATGTTAACTCCTCTAGTGCACATGCCAGCACTTGCTCGTAAACGAGTACCAAACATTAAATTGAGAAGAGTTGATTTTCCACTACTCTGAACACCCATAACACTAAGAACAAAAATTCTACATGGGCCCTTGTCTTTGTCTCTTTTTGTGAGAATTGTATTCAATTCTTTAAAAACTGCATTGAACCATGACTGTTCCAACATTCCGGCATCACCGTCGAGTAGTTCCAAAGAAAATCCATCAAGCAAATGTTGAGCAGCCAGGATAGGAAGGTTGGCATAGCGAGTTTTATTCGAGACGTAAATGTGACTCAATTCTCTCCAAAGATGTTCAATGGTGATAAGTGAGTTTGCATATACGCGTTTGGCTTCATAATAGACTTCCCTCTTTTCTTTATTTTGACTATCGTTATTAAGTGCTTCGTGT